CCTGGTGGGGATCGTCACTCCTGACGGCGATGAATACGACGAGGACTTTTGTGGTCCAGACATAGTGGAAGTTCGAGCGGGAGTCGGCGGCGGAGCGGGGGCTGCGCTTCCTGGAGTTGGTGCCGACCCGCTCTACAGGTTCCGAGCGGTTCCTACTCTGGCGACCGCGACGGTGGCCCGCGCCGCGGCCTGGGGGTGCCACGGAGCAGCACCGCCGCCTGGGCAGCTCGTGCCCAACGTCGGTGGGCGCGCTGGGTCTGGCGGAGCCCCTGCAGTGGCCGCGGCCCCCGCGGCAGGAGACGCCGCCGGAGCGCTGGGCGCGGCTGCCGCTGCTGCTCCTGGAGCGCCCGGCGGAGCTGTAGGCGGAGCTGGCGCGCTCTTGCCAGCGGCCGGGCTTGGTGGCTTGGTGGCAGCTCTCGGAGGTGGCGGCCCCGGCCCTCCAGTAGGCGCCCTTGCTGCCGCCGCCGGCCCGCTGGTGGCGGCCCCGCCTCCCGCGCCTGCCGCTGCGGACGGCGGCGGGGTGGGCGCGGGCGCGCTGGCCGCCCCACCTGGCGCCGCAGGGGTTCTTGCCGCCCCCCCTGCTGCCGCCGCGCCCGCCGCCCTGGCTGCGCCGGGAGCGGGCGGTGCGCTTGGGGCGGCTGGTGCTGCGGGCATCGGCTACTTGGACCTCCGCGTGCTGCCGGTGCAGTATGATCTGCTGGGCGACAGGCTGATGCCGTTCGATCGAGCGGCGCAGTCTTTCCGCGAGGACCTGTTCGCGGACTGGCCGATCAAGGGCCCTCGCTCCTGCTTCAGGGTCTGCTGGTACATCGCACAGAACGGTGGCTCGCCGACAGGATTGCGCGCGCGCTGGAAGCACGATGCCAAGCTCCAGTCGCAGGACGCCAGGGCGTCCAAGCACGAGCGTTGCTGCCGCCAGCTCGAGACGGTGGCTTGCTAAGACCAGATCAACCTCCCCAACAGCGCCACCGCGGAGCATCTGGCTCGGTCGCTGCAGGTGCAGGAGGAGAGGTGGCGCGAACGGCTGAGCGGTCACAAGGAGGACTCCGTCGGTGACGCCCGCCTGTGCTACTGGGTTGACATTGTCCGAGCTGGAGTGCGCGTTTGCCCCGAGCTCACGGAGTGGGTTGCGAAAGAGCCCCCCCGCGAGCACGCCTTGCTCAAGGAGCGCCGCAAGGCGAGAGAAACACGAGAAGCGACCCGCAAGGGCAAGAAGGAATACGACGCATGGTCCTGAGCGCGGCCAGGTGCATCGGAAGGGGGCGCCCTGGACCGCGTTCCTGGGAGTGGCTCAGCGCCTCCCCTACCCCTTCCATCTTTTTCTTCCTCTCAGGTTAGGCCGCCGAGGCTTGACGGACAGAGGGATGCGTTCCCGCTGCCGCCGCTTGATCGTCGCTCGCCCGTCTCTTGCGCGCCTGATGCGAGTCGCGCAGTTAAGAAGAGAGTGCACCGCCGCGCGCGCATGACGGATTGGGCGGATGGGGCCATCCGCAGTTTGAACCATCTGTATGGATACCCGCAAGCCCCCTGTGATAGGCCAGGAGTCCTCCTGGCCTCGCCCCCCCCCGCTCAATTCTTCTCAGCGCTTCGCGCATCAGCGCGTTCTCGATCGTTTCAGGCAGGCGGGTGCCCAGCTGGCCGATTCGAATAGCAAGGGGGCCTTCCGCGAGCTCCTTCTTGGGTCGGCCATCTATCCAGACAGCTCTACCCGCAAACCCCATGCACGCCACCTCGCGGCGTGGCCGGAGGTCGGATCCGAGCCCGCGCCCGTGGAATCGCGTCTGTCGTCGGTCGATGGCGAATGGCTGAGGTCTCGGCGTGATAATTTGCTTTTGCCAGCGGATGTTGCAGAGAGGCAGCGCCACTCACTCGGCTTGAGTGGTCCGAATGTTGATATTGCCATGCGCTCTCCTGCCCGCAACCGAGACTTTCTGCTTCAGCTCCACCAGTGTGGGATGTTATCTTCGCGTCGCGAGACCCCCCGAACTGGAATTATTCGAGTATTTGCGGCGAAACGAAGCGGCCAACTTTGCGTTGTATTTGTCGCCCGGGCCTGTAACTGTTCTTATTTCGAGGTGGCCTCGACGCGGCTGCCCCCGCCTTCGGCCTTCCCGGGACTCGAGGTCGGGCCCGAGGGTGCCTCTGCCGCCTGTAGAGGTTTAAGTTGTGCGTTCTGTCACCTCAGGGCCCCGGAAGGCCCCGACAAGTATTTTAGTCTTCCGTCTATCTCCTGTGACCTGGCTGGTCAGCGAGATCGATGGCGAGGCGCTCGCAGCTGGCACTTCCGTCTCGCCGTGCTTAGTCGTTTTGCCGATGGGCTGGGGCTGGGCGATGCTTCTGCGCCAGGCAGTCGCGAGGCAGTCTCTTCGTGATGTTGGGATCCAAGACAGCCGGGTGATAGAGGGCTGTCACATACCACCCAAGCTGGACTCGCCCACCGCCGTTGCTGCCGCCGCCTTTGTCGATCAACTGTTCGTTTCCTCGCCGCGCGAGGATGCCGCGAACCGGGCCAACAGCGCCATCGTCGCTGTCGCTGATCTTCAGGGGAAGGGTCTCTTCGTACATGAGGTTTCGGAGGCGCCAGGAGATATGGACTTGGCGGGGCTTGCCCTGTCGGCCGGGCGTTTCGTTAGCTTGAAGAGCAGTAGCATCTGGGGGCTGAGGCTAGGGATTGATGCTCTCCTTCGTCGGGGAAGGGCTACAGGCAATATGATGCAGTGTATCTTGGGCCATATAGTTTGGGCCGCTCTACTGCGCCGAGAGTGCCTATGCTCGCTGGGCGAGCGCTATGCGTCTGTAAACAAGAACATCCAATCCACTGACCGCCACCCTCTTTAGCCTCGTGTTCGGCAGGAGCTCTGGCGCGCGCGCAACCTTCCACCCTTGTGCCGCGTTGATTGGCGGGCTCAGTGGCCGCCGACAGTGCGCTGCAGCGATGCTTGACCGTTCGGGGTCGCCGTCTGCCAGCGCCGAGTTCTGCCTCGTCCGCCGGAGAGGTTGGCCAGTGCAGTGAACGCTGGCGCTGTCGTGTCGCTGGCGCCGAAAAAGCTCGCCAGTCCGCTCTGGGGCCACCTCCTTTGCTATCGGGTTCCGCTGGCTTCGCCGAGTCCGCCGAGCACTTGCCCACGCGCGTGCGCGACCCGTGCGCGGATCTGGGGGGCGAGGACTTCCTGTCTTACATAAAGGTCAAGTCGGCCGTCTTTGGGGAGGTGCCCGAGGAGCTCTTGGAGGCCTCCAAGTGGGATGCCGTCTCGGCTTCTCAAGTGGTGGTTCCTGGAAATAGATTGGGCTTGGAGGGTGATGCTGCCATTCTTGCCGTCCGTCATGCACTTCGCGCGTCTTCAAAGAGGGCTAACATCGTTCTCACTGTGGACAATTTACCGCTGCGTCTTGGGCTCCGTAAAGGCCGGGCCAAGTCAATGCACCTACGCCCCGCCCTCCGTAAAGTTTGCAGTCTTGCTCTGGCAACTGGTACCCGTGCGGCTACAACATGGCGCCCTCTGAGTTCAACCCGTCAGATAAAGGATCTCGCGGTAAATTGGGCTGTTTCAGTGGCCCTTCGAAGCGCCCCGCCAGGCCGTCCGTGCACTGCTCGTTGGTGGCTCAGGCGGGCTCGGCTCGCCCTTCTACGGTTTGTGACATCCCTTCCTGCTACGCAGACTTCCGCGATCCTAGAGACGGCGCTGTACAAGGCTCGACAGGGCAGCCGCCCGGTCGCCGTGCAGACGCCTGCCGAGTGGGCGCAGAGGTCTCGCGTCTCCGTCAGCTGCTGGCCCGCCTTGGGCCTCCTTCCGGTGCTGGAGAGGAGCCCCCTGACGCCTGCCGCCGCGAGGCAGTGCCGCAACATGCTGGCGGGCCTCGCGCAGTTCTGCCAGGCGCAGAGGTTGGCCTGGACCGACCTCCAGAGCCCGGACCTGGCGCTCGCGGTGTGCCCGAACTACTTGGCCCTCGAGGGCCGCCTTGGCACCGACGGCAGCCGTCTGGCGGCAGCTGTCTCGCACTCCCTTCTCCACAGTCTGGCCTCCGACGACCTCCATCGGAAGCGGGGGGCGGCCGAGGCCGTTCAGAGGCGGGGCGGTCGTCGCGACGTCAGTCCCATCAAGCGCCACTGCAGGGGGGCCAGAGCGCTGGCTCAGCTGAACCAGCAGCCGCAGCACAAGCTGATCTTCGGGGAGCTGGCGGCGCGCATCTTCGCCGCACTTGTCGAGAGGGGGCTGGCCGACAGCGGGCTGCGGCGCCAGGTCCAGACCGACCTGCAGCGCCTCGTGCGGCCCGCCTTTGTGGCACCCCGCCGAAGGCCAGCCCTAGCGAGATTGAGCGCCATCTCACTCGAGTTTTTCACCGCGCTGTCGAGCGCGGCCAGGACTTTCGCCGCTGCGTGTTCCTCGAGCTTCTCTGCGGCAGTAGCGCTCTCATTCGACGCCTCAGGAAGCGAGGGCGCAGCGCCCTCGGCCTTGACATTGCCCAGGCCGAGAATCATCTGTCCCCCGTGCTAATGCGCCGTGTGCGGGGCTGGATCCTGGCCAAGGCCGCGTGCGCCGTTTGGCTGGCGACGCCCTGCGGCGCGTTCTCAGCTGCCCGCCGCCCCCCTCTCCGTTCGTTTACTTTCCCTTCAGGCTTGCTTGGCCTCTCAGAGAAGGATGGGGCTGCGGCGCAGACGGGGAAGCAGTTGCTCGACTTCAGTCTTAATATCGTTCGCCTCTGTATTCAGTACAACTGTCCTCTTGCCATTGAGAACCCACGTGCTTCTGTTTTATGGCAGGTGCCAGCTCTTAGGAAGTTGATCGTACTAGACTGTTGCCAGTATGGTATGCCCTGGCGTAAACGGACCAGGATTGCTTTCTGGCATGTAGGGGCTGAATGTGAGATGTTGGCTCGTCGCTGTCAGGCCGTCCGAGGTAAGTGTTCGCGCGCTGGCTGTCCCCGCGTTAAGCTTGTGGGGCGGGAGCCGGTCAGCCACCGTCACTGGGCCTCTACTGCCTGTGCATGCCCGCCGTCCGTGTGCCGCTCGCTTGCGTCAGTTTGGATTTCTGCAGTCGACCGTGCTCGAGCGTTTGTTCTGCGCGATCGATTTCAAGTGTGATACGGCCTGGCGGCCAGTATGCTCTCAGCGAATCGCTGACAGTACTTCGCTCCTTGTCGCTGGCTGGGCGGCCTCTGCCCCCCGGCTCGCGCTTCCTCGCATCGAAGGAAAAAGTTGGAGCCCTTAGAGCCTCAGGCCCCTTTGGGGAGTCCACGTGCCTTCAGCTGGGCCTGGCAGAGATTGGTTGACTTCTGCAAGCTAGGAGTCTTCAGGGCGTGATGTTTGCATTGTCTGTTCTCTACCGTACTTTTACGGCTCAAGCTCTTCCCTCCCTCCTCTCCTTTTCTCTCTCCTTTCCTTCGCCTGCGTGGCAGGGCATGCTTTCGACAAATCGCTGACCGTGTTTTGCTCCTTGTCGCTGGCTGGGCGGCCTCTACCTCCTGCCTCGCGCTTCCCCGCACTGAAGGAACATAGTTGGAGCCCTTAGATCCGCAGGCCCCTTGGGAGACTCCACGTGCCTTCAGCTGGGCCTGGCAGAGATTGGTTGACTTCTGCCAGCTGTGTATTAGTGTTGTGGTGTTTGTTGTTGTGTACAAGTATATCGTCAGACCCGTACTCATTTACATAGTTTGATCTGTGTGTGCGAATGTGTCAGTGTTGCCTGACGTTGGTGTATTCTGCAGGTGCCTCTTCGTGATGCATGTAGGTTCGTGTTGTGCTGTCTCGAAGTCTGGTGTTGCGCGTTGCTGACTGCTGCTGGTGCGTGTCCTCTTCTCGGTGCGCGCTCTTCGTGCGCGCCCGTTTTGCCTCCTCGGGATGTCTGGACGTCGTGACGCCTGGACCGCGCGACGCCGTGCTGCAGATCGGGTGGGTTCCTGTGTGAGGTACGACGAGCAGGAGGAGGAGGAGGAGGAGGAGGAGGAGGAGGAGGAGGAGGAGGAGGAGGAGGAGGAGGAGAGCAGCAGCAGCAGCAACAGCAGCAACAGCAGCAGTAGCAGCAGCTGTGACTCACATGCCCTTTTTGCCAGCGTCGTGCTCTGCCTCCCGGGCCGAGCTCTCTCCGGGGGGGGCCCGGCGGCCCAGGTACGTAACTACGCGGGGCGGGGCGGGGGCGGGATCATGCCCCGGGGAGACCGCCCGGGCTTTGCAGGGGGCGGGCGAGGCGAGACACCCTCCTCCTCCTCCTTCTCCTCCTCCGCCTCCTGCCTCCTCCTCTGCCCCTGCCTCTGCCTCTGCCTCCTCCTCCTCCTCCTCCTCCTCCTCCTCCTCCTCCTCCTCTGCCTCCTCCTCCTACTCCTCCTCGTCCTCTCCCTCCTCCTCATCCTCCTCGTCCTCCTCCTCCTCCTCCTCCTCCTCCTCCTCCTCCTTCTCCTCCAGAGGCCCCTTGGGATTGCGGGGGCTCGGCGGCCGCGGTGTGCGGGGCGGGCGGGGCGGGTGGGGAAGCAGCTCCAACAATATCTGGCAATCCCGACCAGTTTGGTGGGGGCGAGCGACGGCGGCAAGCCTCATCGTCGAGCCCCGCCTCGGCCACGCGCACGGGGACAGCGTGAGACCGGTCGGCCCGCTTCCTCGGATGGATGGCTCCACCACGACATTCCAGTGTCGGTTTGGCCAGATGGTCGTATTCGGCCCCTTTGGGCAGACCGCAGCAGCGTCCAAGGATGTGTAGGTTTTCCTCCGACGGCCCAAGTGGCATGCTCTTTGGGAGACAGGCTTCCGAGTATCAGCACCTCGATGGGGTTGGAATTGTTGTGCCCCCGTGCAAGCTCTACGCCTCGATGCCAGGCCGTACACGAGCTTTCGTTTACCAGATGAGTTGCACGAGCTCACATGGGTCCGCGCTCACATTTGTGCGCGGGCGACGCGTAATTATGCGAAGGTTTTAGTTCCACATCTTGCTCCACTCAAGTTTATGCACTTGCATGCTGGCAGCGGACCCGAGGCGAAGGCCGAGGGGGCAAAGAAGGCCGAGGGTGAAACATCGGAGGCGAAGGCCGAGGCGGCAGCAAAGAAGGCCGAGGGTGCACAGCCCGAGGCCAAGGCTGATATAGCAGCAAAAAAGGTCGATGGAACGAACCCCGACGCGAAGGCCGAGGCAGCAGCAAAGAAGGCCGAGGGTGCAAATTCCGATGCGAAGGCAGAGAGGTCAACAAAGAAGGCAGAGGGAGCAAAGCCCGAGGTGTCAACAAAGAAGGCGGAGGGGGCGAAGCGCAAGGCGGGCGTTCTGGTGGTGCTCTTCTCCATCAATTTGCTTGTACTCCCTTCTCCTCCGTAACTCCCACGCCGTCCCTATCCCGCCCCCCTTTTCCACTGACAACTTCCGAATACATGAGACAACCTCAGGCTTCCCGTCTTGTTGGTCCGCCCTGCAGCCAAGGCGCGAATGTGACAGTGTGCCTCCAGCGGCAGCAGGAGGAGGAAAGTGAGGAGAGGGAGGAGGATATGGGGGAGGACGAGGAAGAGAAGGGAAGAAGGGAGAGGAGGAGAATGAGTCCCAGCGCAGGAGGTTGGCAGACGTGGTCCTGGCCTAAGGTGCACCCAGATTTTCGCACCATTTTGGAGCTCCTGGGTCCCTCTGGGCCTCGCGAAGGGTGCTCTGAAGAGCGTATGGGCCTCCCTTTGACATCCCTGGGACACCTCGGGTCTGGGACACCTTTAGCAACACGCGATTGCGGGCGCCACCCTGCGAGAACACAGTTTCTTTTATGGAGACAGAACTAGCGATCACTTGAGCTTGAGGTGCTTGAAACTGCACGCTGGCGCTGGCTCGCAGGGGCTTACAAACTGGGAGCGGGCCGCCAGCCTGGCCCTGGCCCAGGCCACGCATTGCTCGGCCCAGATCTTCAACGCGGTGTTGGCAAGCATGCGCCGTCGGTGCGGCGTGTGCCAGGTGGTGGAAGGAATCCCTTGGGCACACCTCCGAGACAGCGCCAGCGCCCAGCTCGTCAGCGTCCAGTCCGCGAGCGTCCAGTTCGCCAGCGTCCATGTGGCAAAGGTTCAGTTCCCAACGTCCAGTACTTCCGTCTCTATGGATGAAGCGCGTGGTGGCGCTAGTGTTGTCTCCACAAGTAAGACGCATGTGGTGTCTCAGGGGGGCGCCCGCAGTCGGGTGTGGCCAACGCTGTCCCTGGCCGCGGGTGTCCCCAGAATTTGCCCGGGAGGCCCACATGGCCTCCAGAGCCCCCCCCCCTTCGCGAGGCGCAGAGGAGGGGCACCCTGGGCCAGAACCACGTCTGGCAACCTCCGACCACCGTACGCCCGAGGCCTGGCGGTGTCAGTTTTCGAAGTTTCTTGGGTTCCTCGTCCTGCAGTCAACCCGCATAGTAAGGATGGGCAACCTTCCCAAGGATACCGTTGCATCCTTGCCTCCTCGGCCCATCCTTGGCCACTTTCGTTGGCCGCGCCCCGCTCGAACAGCTTCGGAATGGACTTCCAGGGCCCTTGCATCCGTACCGCGCATTCTGATGATACGGGTTGACTGGATTCCATGCTCTTGTACGGTCCAGCGTCATGCTGCAGCGCGCCTCTCGGTTCCGCTGGCGCGAGGAGCGACAGGCAGCGCTCATCCTACCACCCCCGTCGCTGCGGCACTGCGCTTCAGAGGGCGTTGGGCGGTGCGCCGTGGGGGTGGATCCCGAGATCCGATGATAGAGGGTTGTCAGGGCCCCGCTCGACAGGCTCTGGAAGGCGCTGGTGATAGGCTCCGCAAGACGCCGAGGATATTCCGATTCATCTTGGATCTGTTCTGTGCCCAGGACAGCCTTGTGATATTGTCATGGCTTCATAGGTTGTGTCGAGTGTTCTGGCTTCCCACGACCTGGACGTATGGTTCGTGCCTTTAGCATACTGCTGGAGGACAAGCGTCTAGCCTTATCGAGACCCACTGGATGTCTCGTTGAAGAGAGAGGATTCGACTCTCATGTTCCTGCCCATGTCCTGCTCGGTGCTGCAAGATAGCACCGATGGTCCCTGCTGGCTCGAGGGCATATCACTGCAGTTCAGGCAGAGCGTGTTTGCGGTTGCGTTTGCACCTCCCTCCGCCTCCCCTCGGCGCAATCCACACTTCTATGTTCTTGGGCTCTTGCTTTCGCGCTTCCACGTTATGTTCTCTCGGCCGTTCTCTTCTCGGTGCCTAGTCCTCTGCGTCCACTCCCCGTTCCTACCAGCAGCGCGTCATGCCTGGGAGAAAGCTACAGGCTGTCAGCGTCGGCGGTGAGAAGGGCGAGGAAGACAAGGTGGCGCTTGCATCATGCAGTATGTTGCAGCTCTTTTCGTATGTCGTCGTTGCCCTTCCGAGCGCAAGCGGATTCCATGAGGGCGTTGCCACGTTGTCGCCAGGGGGCTAGTTTGAAGCATTCGTCGACGTGTGGTTTGACGACTGTCTGATCGGAAGCATGTGCAGGGCTCCCGAAACGGCCTCGCCTTCAGCGCGTCCCGTCCTCGGCGGTAGCCTGCGGAAGCCCGCCAGAAGCGGGTGACAGTACAGGGCGGTTGCCCCGGCGGCGGAGGTAAAAGCGAGAGTCGTCGTAATTTGTGGATCGAGGGGTTCTGGCGTCATGCCAGGTGCACGCTTTGGCTGGGCAGTGCACGTCGGCACTGCGAATTCAAAGCGGAGGTCCGACACAATTGTTGGGGAGCAGCGCTCCAAAGCCGCGATCATCGATCCTACATCCTCCTTCCCCCACCATTTTCCGCCGCCCCCCTCACCCCCCCTGCACATCGGGGCGCTCGTCGGCAAGCTCAAGTCCGTCGACTGCTGGGGTGGCCTCCTGCTGCCTTCTGCCCCGGGGCGGCCACCCGAAAAGAAAAGCGGGAGTGGGGGAGAGGGCGGGGCTCTGCGTTCTCCTCCGGTTCTCAGACAGCACGTTGGTCCCCGAAGGTTCGCCCCCCTCCCCCTCCTCCTTCTCCTCTCCTCCTCCTCCTCTCCTCCTCATCCTCCTCCTCCTCCTCCTCCTCCCCTCCTCCTCCTCCTCCTCCTCCTCCTCCTCCTCCTCCTCCTCCTCCTCCTCCTCCATGCCTTCCCCCAAGGCTCGGTTGCAGTTCGTTGCAGGTCAAGCTCAAGCTCGGTGCTGGCAGATCTGCAGTCGAACGCGGCCCTGAGGAAAAAATCGAGTTCTTCTTCAACAGAGCGCGTTGATGGGGTCGCCCGACTATATCCCGCTGGATTAAAAGTGGAGACCGTGGGGATCGAGGAAGACACGGAAGGCCTCCCGTTAGGCCACGGGGTCCCAGGACAATGTTGGATTCGGGGCCGAGTCGAGAATTTCAGATGCATCTCTCATCCCTGTCAATCTTATAACGGCCAAGTGGGGTCAGCGTCTGAAAATGATTCCGCTTGAGATCTCCGCAGAAAAAAATCAGATCGCCTTCCAGGGCGATCTGAAAATTTGCCGCGGCATCTGAAAGTGGCGATTTTGCGTGGGACTTCTGCAGACAACAAAAACATCAGATCCATCTTCATGCCGCTTGAGAGCGGCGGTATCGCCTGATAATTCCTCGCGGGGTATTTTCAGACCGCTTGTCACACCGCAAAAGAGAAGCGATTTCATTTGGGCTGTCCTACCAACCGCGCGTCTCGTCCACCCCTGCGTCGCCGTTCCTCCGTTCGGGTCAAGACTCTGGGAGTTACTTGGGATCGATCGAAGGTCGAAGCATGAGTTTTTGTTCCGATTGGCGAAGACCCAGGGGCTGTTCCCTGCCATGGTGCCGATCACCACTTTTCTAACCCAGGGGGGTGGTAGCACGACACCGCTACTATCCAGCCGCGCTGCCGTGCGGCTCCGCCACCGCCCTCGGGCGGGCGCCCCGGGTGGGGCGCCCTGGGGCGGGGGGGGGGAGGGGAGGGTCCATGGACTGGGAGGGGAGGGGAGTAGTAGAGAGGGGGGGGGGGAGGGGGGGGGAGGGTAGTAGTAGTAGGAGGGGGGGGGGGGGGGGGGTAGTAGTAGGGAGGAGGGGGGAGGGGGGAGGGTCCATGGAGTGACCCCCTGTCCCCGAGATCTGCAGGTGTGGCCATGTCCTGCACGGGAGGCCACAGCACGCGGGAACGTGGCCACGACAGCGATCGCCCCCCCGGGTTCCCTGCGTCGGGGGGGGCTCGACCGACCACTGCTTCGCCAAGGAGGCGAGACAGGGCCCGATACCCGCACGCCGACCGCTGCGGGCGCCGCGGCGGCCCATGTGCTGCGCCCGCCGAGCCGCGGCGCCCCCAGGAGGGCAGCTGCAGGAAGGCGCAGCGGGCCGAGGAGCGGCGGAAGCAGGAGAGCCGCGCGGCGCCCCGGCCGCGCGCGGGCGGGGGCGCCGTCGGCGGTCGGCGGGGCGTCGCTTGGCGCGCGCCGGGACGATCGGCGCCCGCGGGAGGTCGACTCGAGACGCAAGGAGGGGCCCTTTGGGCCGGAGTGACCTCTGGTGCGGGCCCTCGAGGGGGCCCCCCGAGCGCGCCGAGCGCGGTGCGGGCAGCAGCGCCCTGCGCGCTGGCGTGCTGCTTTCCCCGCGGCCCCCCGACGAAGCCGCGCACCAGAGGTCGCTCTGACCCAGGGTCACTCCCGCGTGTAGTCGAGGAGTCAGCCAGGAAGCGCCCCTCGCCGCTCCCCTCGCCGTCGCTCGGACGTCCACGCCCCGTGCATTTGTTCGACTTCGTGCGCTTCATTTTTCGCAAGATGCTCCAAGCTGTTCCTCGAGGGTCTTCGCCGAGGAAAACATGCAAAGCGGTCACTCCTGCGTGTAGTCGAGGAGTCAGCCACTCCCCTCTGGCGGACTCGGGTTCGGGAGCCACGTGCGGCCGATTGCCCCTTTGCCGCCCTCCGCCGGCCAGGGTCGGGGAGTTACCGAGCGGTCAGCTGGGCTCTGCCATTGACGCTCTGGTCGACCTGCGTTTGTGCCGAGACGACCGTTTCGGACGGGTTCCTTTGCACGTTTCGGGGAACAGATAATGACATATATATATATATATACGCATACATACATACAAACATACATACAGACATGCATCCATCCATCCATCCATCCATCCATACATACATACAAACATACATACGTACACACATACAAGCAACCAAACAAACAAACAAACAAACAAACAAACATGCATGCATGCATGCATACATACTTACACATATACACATACATACATACATGATACATACATGCATGCATGCATGCATGCATACATACATATACACAGTTGTACGCCCACACATACATACAGACAGACAGACAGACAGACAGACAGACAGACAGACAGACAGACAGACAGACAGACAGACAGACAGACAGACATACATGCATGCATACATACATACATGCATGCATGCATGCATGCATACATACATACATTCGTACATACATCATGCATGCATACATATAAAGGTGTATATATATATATGTGTGTGTGCTGAAATCTATATTATAGATACATATAGGACGGGGGACGCCGGATAAAAAACGCCCCCCTAACGAATTTGGCACTCCCCGGGCTTCCGGGCAACCCTTCAGACGACCCGGGAGAACCTCACGAGAGCCCGAAGCCGGCCCCGGACGGGTTCCAGGCGTTCCGGCGTGCTCCCGAAACGACCCCAGAGAGCCCCAGTACGGTCCATAACGACCCCCAAGAAGCCGTCACACTTTTACAGATCTCTTCAAAACGTCCCAAGAGGCCTCCAAGAGCACTCTCAAGAAGGCCCCAAGAAGCAAGAATCATAAATTTTCTATGGTTTTGATGAATTTTGGGATTGTCCTCTTGTCGGCTTCCCGACGCTCCAAGACGGCGGTCTTCTGGGCGTCCGAAGCCGCCTGGGAGGCTCCAGAATCGCCCCACAATTATCCGAAAGGGCTTCCAGGCAGTCCAAGAGAGCTCCAAAACAGCACAACAGGGGTCCAAGATTGTCCTAACATGGCGGCCCAAGATGACCCCAAGACACCCTCCGAAGCATTCCAAATCGTGACCTGGTTGTTCAGGGAGACCGTGGTTGGAGGCAGGGTGGCCCGAGGAAGCCCCCATAGGCCCCCAGAACACGCCCAGGAGGCCTCCAGAAGGCTTTAAGAAAGCTGGAACAACTTTTGTGAGGCCCTCAGAGGCTCTCCAAGGAGGAGCCTCGCAACAAGAGCTGAGGAGGACGGGGATAATGCGCAGGGTATGCCGATAATGACGAACAAGAAGCATGAAGGAAGGATAACGAATAACATTCTTAGAACCGCGATCCTGGAAAAGGCAACAAGGAGTTATAGCTAAATTGTCGGCTTGACCTTCCAGCCATTACGCCTGCATACCAAACTTCGAGGACCAAGGTGCCTGGCGCAAAGCGCCACTGTAATATTGTATTTGTATATATATATACACACATATATATATATATATATATATATATATTCGGAGGTCCGCGCGGATTTCTCGGATCGGCGCTGGAGCCCCTCCGGCGGCACCTCCGGCGCCGCCACTGGCGCACTCCGCTCGCCAGGGAGGGGGGCCCAGCGCCGATCCGAGAAACCCGCGCGGACCTCCGACAGTCTATGGTTGTGCGATCCTTTGCTCTCCGAGCCTTGGCCGCCACGTGGCTTCCAGCGGCGAGGGAGAGCCGCAGCGAGCGCAAGAGGGATCAGACCGTGGGCGGCTCCGCCTGCGGAAGGCAGGGCAGCAACGCGTCAATTTGCTCGGGAGCCATGGTTCCGAGGGAGGGCCGGAAATGAGACTTCGCTCCTCCGACGGCGAAAAAAGGCCATAAACATAAATGTTTGTCGCTCCGCGCGGATTTCCTGGATCCGCACTGGGCCCCCCCTGCGGCGCCTCCGGCGCCGCCCCTGGCGCGCTACGCGCGCCTGGGAGGGGGGTCCAGCGCCGATCCAAGAAATCCGCACGGAGCGCCAAAAGTTTATGTTCATGGTGTTTTTTCTCCTATTTCTCCGTGGTTCGACCTCGGTTACGAGAGGTCAGTGCTTCAGCGGAGGCCGCCCCAGGCGTTGTGTCAGGCCGGGGGGGGATCCACGCCCGCCGATCTGAAGACCTTCCCCCGAGGATCTCGCGGAGCGCTAGACATGCATACCCTTCACAGCCACGTCCAACGCGCCGCGGCATCCTCGGGGGGGCACGTCTCCACATCGGTGCATGGACCTTGTGTAGCCCTTCACCTCGAGTGCTTCCTCGAGGTCCTCGCCGCTCCACCACTGCCGGGTGTGCGCTCCGCTGGACGAGTCGCCACACGTCCGCGAGGTTCGTCCCCTTCTTCGGCAGCGGGGCTCGGCTCGTCCTTCAGTGGGGCGAGGCAGATGAGGACGACGACCGACAGAGGTTCATGTTCGTGCTGGGTAGGATTCGCTGTCGGTTTCCAAGCGATCGTGGTCCGTGCAGTGGTGCACGTCGGCTCTCCAGCAGCAGCTGCCGTCCATGCTGGACCGCCTTTGCTGTTGCGCATCGCCCTCCTCGGTGCTGTCTGGTGCTGTCCTTGTTTTCAGGCGTGCCAACACAAGCGCAACAACAAATTGCCAGGAAGCTACCTCTCGAGGCCAGGTTTTCGGAGGTGCTCGCTGTATTTCTCATGCGGGGGTGTCCCCGGGTTCCAGGGGCTTCTGGGCCCCAGGTATTTTTTGCATCGGTTGCATCCACTTCGAGAGCCTTCCAGAGAGCCCGCAGTCGTCATGAACGGCCACTCGCGGCCCGATGTATGGAGACATGGCTGTTCTAACCCCAAGCGATTACGGGCGTCACGGGGGAGGAGGAGGAGTAGGAGGAGAAGAAGGAGGAGGAGGAGGAGGAGTCGGGGGCGGCAAAGAGGGGGGTGATGACTACGGGGGGGTGGATATCATGGCGGGGGCCATGATATTTCCCCAGATTTCATGGCGCCTCTTCTTATTTCATTACGTCCCTGGCCCCCCCGCTGGGCCGCGCACATGCCGCCGGTCATGATTTGCACCCCCCCAGCCTTCTTCTTCCTCCACCTCGTCTTCCTCGCCCTCCCTTTTCCTTGGTGGTTGGGGTATCGTGTTCACATGTTCAGTGGCAGCGCGACCTGATCACAGCACCGGCAGATGCGTGAGAGAGGTGTCCGTGGGGCTGCGGAATGCAAGCGCGCAGCCGGCTCCCGAAGGAGGAGGAGGTGGAGGAGGAGGAGGTGGAGGAGGAGGAGGAGGAGGAGGAGGGAGGGGCGGGTCAATGATGTGGACCGCGGGGGCGAGCGCACCGTCTCTTTCCGGTGCTCGGCCCTCGTGGGAGGTGGCGCGGCGGCCCTTTGCGCGTGGGTCCCACGCTGGGCTTACGTCGGGCCTGTCCCTCTGCAGGGGGAATCTTCAAAAGTAGTTAAAAAATAGCCTGGGGACCATTTTTTGAGCATTGTTTGGCTATCTGGGTGTATGTTTTGATTTTTTTTATTTTTCGTCGAAAAAAAACCCTGTAGGGGGACACGCCCGACTTAACGCTAGGCCCCCCCCCCGGATGTTCTGCAAATGGACCCCTGGCCACTTTCGTTGGCCGCGCCCCGCTCGAAAAGCTTCGAAACGGCCTTCCAAGGCCCTTGCATCCTTGTCGCGCATCCTTACGATACGGGGTGACTGTAGTGGCGCCGACCCTAGAGAACGGTTGAAATCTATTCGACAGTGGATGGGTCTTCGAACTCGCCCAAACACGCCGTCGGCACTCTTGCGGATGGTGTAAGTTGGCATCTGCGGTACTTGTTTTCTTTCAGAGGTATTGCAGCGTCTTGTTGCTGGGGCATGGCCAGGCTGGGAGTGGCGGCACCTGAGGAGCTCCGCTCTGACGGGTAGGAGGCCTCTTTGCCACCCTGTGTTGGAACGAGACTCCTGAACCGTCGCGGTGATCAGGTTGGCAAGTGTTCTTTATTGACTCGCCTCTCAATGATGTCGAGTTCCCCAGTTAGGCTTTTCGTAAGTCTTTTCGTCATCCGTCGCCCTCCTCGCTTTCTTCTCTGCCCGAGCCCACAGCTTGCAATGCGCGGCGCCTGGCTGCGACCGCTTAGATCGCCACCACTTGCCCTGCTCTGCTGTCTCACCTCGGCGAAACTCTGCCCCGAGACATGCATGAGGTCCGGTTCGAAACATCACGGCCTTTCTGACAGTGCTTCGCCGGCACACCTCCAGACGTGGTTCGACTGCTGGCCGATGGAAGAAAGAGTGGTCAGCCCCCGCTCATCTGGTGCATGGGGGGCCCGTGGCCACTGCGTTGCTGCTCCAGGCCCCTTGGGTGTCGCCCTTCGGGCGCCCGCGGCTCGACCGGAGCGCCCGTGGTGCCCTGCCCTGCTGCGACGTGTGCTGGCGCGCTGGGCGGTCCAGACAGGGCCTCGCCTTCGGCACTTTGCTCTGCGAAGCCCAGCGGCAAAGGCAGAGGACAAAGTGAACACGCACGCACGCACGCAAAAATAAATAAAACGAACCCTGAAGCGCACGACCCACGCCCACCAGCGGCCTGGGGCTGCGCGCAACGAGGGCGTCCTCCGCGTCGCCCGGCCTGCGCGCACCGCTGGGGCGCAGCAGCAGCAGGCTGGCAGCCTTCGCCGGCAGCGCCGGGACGCGACCGCCGCAGGGCCGGCTCGCGAGGCGCTCCCACTGCGGCGCCCATGCAGCACACGCCAGAGCTGGACCCAAACGGTGTTGGGGCCAGCTCGTGGGCCGTCCTGTTTTTCGCTCTGCCCTGCAGGGAAGGCGGCGCGAAGGCAAAACGAGGAGGAGGAGAAGGAGAAGGAGGAGGAGGAGAAACGAACAACAAAACGAAACGAAACACGCCGTTAAGGCTCAGCCCTGGCAGACGCAGCGCAGGCACGCAGCCCAGCCGGGGCCTTCGGGAGGCCACGCGGGCGCGCCCGGCGCCGCCGGCGAGCAGCGCTCGCGCGTCGCCGCCGCTGCAGCGCCGGGCCGCTGTGCGGCGCTCGCCGCGCGGCGCTGCGCGAGGCCGTCGTCGCTCGCCGTCGGCGCGTCGCGTCGTCGGCGGAGGTAAAGTTAAGGCGGGCGTGTCCATCTAAAGGAGGAATGTTCAAAAATAGTCAAAAGATAGTATGGGAACGATTCGTGGACTATTTCCCATGTTTGCTGGCTATTTCCCATGTTGCTGACTCTTCCAGAATCCGCCTGTAGGAGGACGTGCCCGACCTGAAAGTAAAGCGGCGGAGGGCCGCCAGCGGAAGCCGGCGGAGGTAGTACAAGGGAGACGTCAACAATTGTTGTTGCTGAGGGTTTTCGCATTCGGCCATGTTTTGTAGTGTATTGATGCGCCATGGACTGCCCTGCTACGTTGTGTTGTGAAGTGTTGAGCTCGGCGATGCGCGACACGGTATGCAGCGCAATACTATGTTGTGCAATGCGATGTTGTCCTTCGCGACGCTGCGCAAGGCAAGCACAGACCATGATATGATATCCTATGATCCAGCGCAGGCTTTAAGTACTGCTCCCCAGTGGTACGCTGCGCTAAGCTCGGAGTTGCAGTGCTGTGCAATGTCATGTTATTCCACGTTTTGAAAGACCATCCCATGCGCAGTGATCTGAACATGTGTACCAGGTACTAAGTACTATGCCAGCATACGCTGCGCAATGTGATGCTACATCATTTCGTGATATGCCATGCCATCGTGCTACATACTACAGATACGTGTCAATGCTATCGTATTACGTACGACAGATGCAATATCGAGAAAGATGTAGCAGGCGTTGCTCTACCATATAGTGTCGTGATGTTACAGTGCATGGCGCTTCATCGCTGCACTGAGAGTGTCTGTGCTGCACACGCACGCCTCCAGCAAAGAGGACATTCCTAATTGTATCTAGTTTTGGTTGCGCTGGTCGCCAGTTTGAAGCGAGACGTTGCAGCGTCTCCGTTGCAATCCTTCGTGTCCGGGCCCGCCACGAGGAGCCTGGCGAGGAGGAAGAGAAGTTGACCCGGTCCCAGATCTACGAGCTTGAGGAGGCGACTGCAGAAGAGAAGGCCCGGTCAGTGCAGAGTCTTCCGTGCGACATGTCTTTGCGTATGAAGCTCTTGTGAGTTTGCAGGCTAGCCTTTCCCAACCATCGCTTTGAAGAGGCAGCGCCCCGCGTTACCTCCCACCAGCTGACCCTCCCTCCTTTCTCACATCCCTACCTCTGCCCTTCGTAGTCTCTACGTCGGCGCACCTCTCACACATTTCGTGGCCCCATCGGCTTTCCATCTAAGGCCCAAAAATCTGAGATCGCATACCTTCTCCACGCAATGTCGGAGCACCCCTCACACGTTTCGTGGTCCATAGGGAATTCCACCGAAGGCCCCCGTGGTTACGTTTGCATACCTTCTCCACGCCAGCTCGGCGCCCCCCTCATACTTTTCGTGGCCCATAGGGGGCTTAACCGAAGGACCCAGTGACTGCGTTGGCATACCTTCTCGACGCCATTTCGGCGCACCCCTCATACGTTTCGCGGCCCATAGGGGGGTCAACCGAAGGACCCAGTGACTGCGTTGGCATACCTTCTCGACGCCATTTCGGCGCACCACGCACACGTTTCGTAGCCCATAGGGAGCTCCTCCGAAGGCCCCAGTTGCTACATTCGCATGCCTTCTTCACGCCATCTCGGCGCACCCCTCACGTTTCATGGCCCCATCGGGGGCTACACCTAAGGCCAACAAATCTGCTTCCACATACCTTCTCCGCACCGTTTCGGCGCACCCCTCGCGCGGTTCGTGGCCCCATAGGGGGCTCCACCGAAGGCCCCGGTGGCTGCGTTCACATGGCTTCTCCACGCCATGTCGGCGCACCCCTCACACGTTCCGTGGCCCATAGGGAGCTCCGCCGAAGGCCCCAGTGACTGCGGTTGCATACCTTTTCTATGCCATTTCGGCGCACCCCCCGCGCTTTTCCGTTCCCATATGGGGGCTCCGCCGAAGGCTCCAAGTGCGTCCACACACACACACTCTCCAGTGCCCCCAAGAGGACTCCGATAGGCCCCCCAAAGTCCCACAGGATGCCCCTAAGATAGTCCCAGGTGGCCCCAACAGACCACAGAGTAGCCTCAAAAGATCACGAGGACCCCTCTCTTCTTCGACGTCCTTTTCGTCGGGTTCCTTACTGCCCTTCTTCATCGTCGTCGTCGTCCGTATTTGTTTTCTTCCCTTGTTCCTCCTCTTCCTCCTCTTCCTGCTCCTCCGTTTCGTTCCTCCTGACTCGTCCTCCTCCATCTCTTCCTCGTCCTCGTGCTTGTCTTCTTACTCGTTGTCCTTCTGCTCCCCTCGCTGCACTCCCTCCCCGTAATCCACGCTGGCATCCTCGACATCCGCCGCCTTGTCGTCACCAGTTTCCTTTTCTTCTTTTCTCCCTACGAGCCCAATGGACAAAATCGGCGCTTCCCGTTCGTGTCCGATCAGGTTAGGACGGTCGCTTGTTGTTTTTTACATGCCGTGCCCTGGAGTTCGCGGATTTGACAGTTTGAGCGGGATTTGCCTGGCGTATTTTCACCCCAGCGAGCCCCAGAGACCGCCACACGCGCGCGAATTAGACAACACCATAGACATCGGTGGGAATTTAGAATTCGAGATTGAGATTCTAGCGCATCGTTGGCCTTGTGTGTCGGCGAAGCTGTATGTCTGTGTATAAGTATATGTTGTTGTCTCTCTCTCTCTCTCGTCATGGATTGTTATCCCTCTCTCTTGATGCTTGCTCATGTGATGTTATATCTCTCTCTCTCGCGCTCGCTTTCTCTCTCTCTCTCTCTCTTGTTCTCTCTCCCTATATGTATAGATACACGTTGTATATAAGCATATGCGTGCATGTGATGTATGTGTGTTGTTTGTGCATGTGCATGTACATACGTATGTAGTTGTGTATGTATGTATGCATGTATGCATGTATGTATGTATGTATGCATGTATGTGTGTTTGTATATATATATGTATGTATGTATATATGCATGCATGCATGCATGCATGCATGCATGCATGCATGCATGCATGTATGTATGTATGTGTGTATGTATGTATGTATGTATGCAGGTATGCAGGTATGCAGGTATGCATGTATGCATGTATGCACGCATGCATGTATGCATGTATGCGTGTATGTGTGTATGTAGATGTGCAGGTATGTATGCATGTGTGTATGTATGCATGCATGCATGCATGCATGCATGCATGCATGCATGTACTTATGTATTTTTGTATGTATGTAAGTATGCATGTATGTGTGTATATGCATGTATGCATGCATGCATGCATGCATGCATGTGTGTACGTATGTATGTATGTATGTATGTGTGTATGTATGTGTGTATGTATGTATGTATGTATGTATGTATGTATGTATGTATGTATGTATTTTATGTATGTATGCATGCATGTACGTAGTGTATGTATGTATGCATGCATGCATGTATGTATGTATGTATGTATGTATGTATGTGTGTATGCATGTATGTGTGTATGTATGTTTGTTTGTTTGTATGTATGTATGCATGCATGTATGTACGTATGTATGTATGTGCGTATGCATGTATGTATGTATGTATGTGTGTATGTATGTATGTATGTATGTATGCATACATGCATGCATGCATGCATGCATGCATGTATGTATGTGTGTATGTATGTATGTATGTATGTATGTATGTATGTATGTATGTATGTATGCATGTATATGTGTGTGTATGTATGTATGTATGTATGTATGTATGTATGTATGTATGTACGTACGTACGTACGTACGTACGTACGTACGTACGTATGCATGCCGCAATGTCTCCCCATTTCTCTCTCTCTCTCTCTGTCACTAGCAGTCCTCGATCTTGCTGCGCGTGCAGAACTCAGTAGCAATGTCACACCAGACATGGTTCGTGCAGTCATAGGCATTGCCTGCTGCATTCTTGGGTGTCATTTCCACTCTCCTCGATACTGATCACTGACATGTCTGTCTTATTGCCGCCAACTTTCGGCTCCAAGCATCTTGTGTTGCACGCCCTGCCACTCACTGTTACACGGGAAGCTCGGCTCCCTTTCTTTCTACGGGCACGCGACAGCAATTTCCAAGGACACTGCATGTTTTATTTCTGAGCGGTGTTCGTTCAGCCAGCTTGCATGTCGAAATATGTCAACGTGAAGGCGGGTCTCAGCCGATTGTTGCCAGTGATGTTGGGTGGATTACCTGTTTGGCACAGGTCTCCTCCAATGGTCTCTCAGAGAGTGTTCCCAGAATTGCGAGATCGACATCCAGAAACGCAGTCTGCTTAGCTCTTCGGTAGTCCCCCAAGATCTGGAGGTGGAGTAGGCCAGAGTAGGTTCGCTGGCACTTTCCCCCTTCGCTTACCACCCATGTAGAGGAGCAGGTGCCGTTGGCCAGCCCCGCTGACCCTGAGGACAGGACGCGCAGAGCCAGGTGGAGGCAGGGCTGGCGCGGGTGGGGCGACAATTCCTCCTCATCGCCGTCGCCGTCCTCCTTGTTCTCCTCTTCTCCCCCGCCCTCCTCAGCTCGCTGGAGATTCGAGCGGCTCCGGCAAAGCAGGAGGTTCGCACGGGTGGTGGCACCACGTGATCGTCGTCAACACGGTCATCGAACGTCACACTGTGTGTTCGTCCCGTGGGCATTGTGCTGCTCGCCCAGAGAACCGATCAGCCCCACGCTGGTGCGGACTGCCTCTGCCTCGCCGCCGACGACAAAAAAGTTCGTCCCGTGGGGGGCGACTGCGGTCGCATGGCGTGGTTGTCTCGTGTGACCCGATGTGACCGCATGGCAGTGCTCTCCGCCTCCTCCAGTCCTTGGTGGCTGTCCGCCCGTCTTGCTCCCCCCCCCTTGCACGCGGGCCAATCCGCGTATCGGATCGCTGGTGCGGTTCTGCCTCGCCGCAGCCGCAAAAGTCATCGCACGGCGTGGCGAGGGCGCCAGCGCGGCCCGCGAGAGCCGGCGTCGCTGTGCCGTGCGGGCCCGCGCTCGCGCTCGCCGCGGGGCCCAGATCTCCCGCGCGGCTCGAAGAGACCTCGGGGCGGGCGTCGGCAGCGCGAGGCCCCGGAGGCCAGCCCCAGGGCCCCAGGACAGGGAGAGAGCCACTTGAGGCGAAACGCATGCCCTGGTGGGCCAACTTTCCATTACCACTACCAAGGGTAGGACGGGGGAGGGAGGAGGATGGGGAGCTCCTCCTCCTCCTCCTCCTCCTCCTCCTCCTCCTCCTCCTCCTCCTCCTCCTCCTCCTCCTCCTCCTCCTCCCCCTCCCCTCCCCCTCCCCCTCCCCCTCCCCCTCCCCCTCCTCCTCCAACAACTCCTCCTTCTCCCTTTCTTACCTATGGTAGTGGTTGTGGCACACGGGCCCAGGATGCCCCGGGGAATGCGATTTGGGGCCCACGTCACGAACATGACGAGCCGCCCGGTGTCTGGGGAAGCACCCGCCCAGGCCGCCCAGGTGCGGCCCTGCTCACGTCGTCTGTGGTGCCTGCAGAGTCCGCGCTGGCAGGGCGCGAGCTCAAGAGATCGACGGGGGCGCGCACGCGATGCCACCCCCGCCGAGTCTGGAGCTCCCTGGTCACCCAGACCTTCGATGGAGAGGAGGAGGGAGAGCGTGGCAGAACAGGGAGCTCCATCGGTACAGTCGTGTGGCGATCGAGAAGCCTTCTCGGGGAGAAGGATGCGGAGGAGGAGGACGAGGAGGAGCCCCAGGAGCCCAGAGGTCCGATGCTTTGACTGTTCCAATATGGGGCCCCCAGGAAGTCCCGATCCTTTCCCCAGCGGCCCGAGTCGTGTCTTTTTGGACGACCCCTGGTCGAGGGACGATGTCGTGGGGTCTTATCGGCGCTGGTCTTTGCCGTGGTCCCTGCCGGCCGCTGCCGATTCGCGAGCGGGACCCACGAGAATCGACGGTGCCCAGGACGGACGATGACCAGGATCGACGCCCCCGTTTCCGCGGTTCGGCCTGCGGTCCGCGCGCGCGGGGTGCGCCCGAGAGGGGCGGAGACGGGTGCGACGGGCGCCCAGGGGCACAGTCTGCGCGGGCGCCCGTGCGGGCCGATGCGGGCGGAGGGGGTGACATGAAGTCGGGCATGTCCCTGCACAGGAGGGATAGTCCAGAAGAGTGGAGCAAATAGTCTGGGGACGATTC